AGAGGAAGAGAGAGACAGAGAGAGATAGAGACAGAGAGAGAAAGAAAGTAACAGAGACAGAGAGGGAGTGGGAGAGCAGAGGGTGAGAAAGAGACAGAGACAGACAGACAGAGACAGAGTGGGAGAGGGAGAGAAGGGGGTGAGAGACAGAGAGATAGAGAAAGAGACAGAGACATAGAGAGACAGAGAAAAAGAGGCAGAGAGAGAAAAGGAGAGAGACAGAGACAGAGAGAAAGAGAGGGAGAGGGAGAGCAGAAAGGAGAATGGGCACTGTTGCTGCTAGGCAGGGATATGAGAGGCCCCTGCCCTTCCTCCAGGCATCATGGGACAGGGGCAGCAACAGCAGCACACCCCCCCCCCCCCAGGCACCCAGGCCACATGGTCAGCATCCATCACCTGGAGCAGCTTTTCCTGATGGCACATATCAAATCTGGGGGGAGGGGGGCTGGGAAGCAGCTTTCAAGGGCATGGGGTGGGGGTTAGGGGGGAGGATGGCCTAGCAAAGTCAGGGTCATTCTGGAGCCCTGTAAGTGGGAAAGATGGTTGTATAGCTTCTCAATGTTTCACAACCCTCTGGGGAAGCGCGTCACCCATTTCGTTGAAGGGCCTGCTCCATGCCTCCCTGTAGGCCTCAGTTCACTTAGCTATCTCTGCGTGGCCAAGCCCAACTCATGGCTGACCTTTAGTCCCACATCTCTGTGCTAACAGCTTTCATGCCGAGCTCATGGTTAGTGACGTGCTGCAGTCTTTCTGAGCCCGCCATGTATCAGTCAGTCAACCCATGAGCATTTATTAAGCACCTCTTTAGAGCCAACCCTGTGCTGGGCGCTGGGGGTACAGGGAAACAACCCAAACCCAAACAGGCCCTACTCTGCTGGAGCTCACAAGTCTAACTGGGACACAACCAGCACACGACTGAATCTCCAGAGAAGGCACTTAGGTGGTGTGGCAGTGGATCAAGGACTGAGCCTGACTCAGGAAGCCCTGAGTTCTGTTGTGTGGCTCCGAGCCAGCCACTGAACCTCTTTTTGCCTGTTTCCTCACCTGTTAAATGAGTGAGGATGATAATAGCACCTACCTTGCCGGGCTGTTGTGAGGATGAAATGAGGGAGTATTTGAAAAGTGCTTAGCACGCTGCCTGGCACCTAGTAGGTGCTTAATAAATGCCCGTTTCCTGCCTACAAGATAAATACAAAGTAGTCAAGCCGAGGGAGGGGGCAGGAGGGAGAGAATCAGTGGGCTCTAAGAGGTGGGGGTGAGGAGGTGGTTAGGAATGGGGAACAGGCAGTTCAGAGGCGCAGAGAAAGGAGCTTGGCTGTGTCCCAGGGTGGGGAGGGGGGGCAAGTAGTGAATGAAGCGAGGCTTTTAAAGGTTAAATGGCCGAGTTTATATTTGGTCCAAGCCTAGAGGCTGTAGGAAGCCACTGAAGTTTCCTGGGTAGGGGAGTCACATGGTCAGATCGGCACTTAAGGAAAATCATCGGGCCACAGCAGCTGGTAGGATGGAGCGCGTGTAGGATGGACCGGAGCGGCTAAGAGCCCTGAGGCAGGGCGACAGTTAGGAGGCTGCTGCGGTCGCTGCCCAGACACAGGGAAGGCCTGAGCTCAGGGGGCAGCTGGCAGTGCACGGAAAGAAGAGGCCGAGCCGAGAGATGAGGTGAAGGCTGAGCTGACAAGTCCTGGTACCGGAGCGGATATTTGAGGTGCGGGCAAGTGGCGAGGCAGGCTGGCGTCAGGAAGCTGGGAGACTGGAAGAAGGGGGGAGGCTAGGAAGAGGGGAGGACTTGGGGGGTATCGGGAGTGCAGTTTGGGACGGGGTGAGCTGGAGACGCGTATGGGACATTCTGTCCGAGTGGCGGCCGGTGGGCGATGTGGGCCTGGCGCTCAGGAGACAGGCTGGCGCTGGATATGTCCCTCTGCTGGAGCTACGTGCCCTCCGGCCTCTGGGGAGCCTGCGGCCTCTGATCGGAGGCTGGGCTTTAGCGCCCTGGGGGAGTCTGCACCTTCAAAAGAAGGGGTCGGGGGGAGGGTATCTTACCTTGCTTCTCAAAGGGGCTATTGCACAGTTAGCACTTCTTGGCCCTCCAGCACCATGTCAATGTCAGCTTTTACTTTTATGAACCCGGGCGGTGCGTCGGCAAAGATCTGGGGCCAGTCTCTGAGGGAGAAAGACCTGGTCTCTGCCTCTGATGTGAACTGGCTTTGTGACCTTGGCCCTGGGTGGCCCAGGTGTGGCTGCCTATGCCTGTCCACTCTAGATGGGCTACTGCTCTGTGCCATCCCCCCCCCTCCAGGAAACCTCCTACCAAATACGCGAGAGAACCACTAGCATTTATTCAGCGCCTAGTGTGGACTGGCCGTTGTGCCCCTGACACAAGGGTGAATCATGACAGTCCTTGTTCCGACCCAGCCTCCAGTCTTTGAGTAGATACATGTTCACAGGTTGTAACCAGATGAGCTCCGTAAAGCAAATACCAAGTGATTGGTGGGGGAGAGAAAGTCCCCACCGGCAAGTCCTCTTGTAGGGAGTGACCTGGACAAAAGCATGGAGGCAGGAGACCCCGGGTTGTGCCCGGGTTGAAGCAAAGAGGCTGGTTAGCTAGAGCAGAAAAGGGGTGATCGGGAGCCCATAAACACAGTCCCCGGCCAGGTGGCCAAGGGCTTTTAAAGGCCAGAGAGCTTGTAGTTTATACCTGAGTGGAAACTGACAATGAGATGCAACCGTAGGTGGGTCACCCGGCCAAAACAATTATTAATGTGTTAAAGACCTATAGATGATTGTTGTGGGTTAATTGCTCACTGGCAAACAAGAGGCGCCTCTCTAAATCCAGCCTCCAAGAGAGAACAAATGTTTCTGGGGATGTCAGTTTTCCTGGTAGAGCTAGTTCCTTGATCTCAGCCTCAGTTTCCTCACCTGTAAAATGGGGATAATAATACTCGTGCTACCTATCGTGTAGGGTTGTTAAGAGGAAGAAGCTTTGTCATTTGTAACAGAGTCTGAATCTGAAAGGGCAGAAAGAGTGGAGGAGGGGCAGGAGAGTAGGGTGGTGGGGGAAGGGTGCAGAGATTGGATGGATGGAGCCCGAACAAGGGAAACTCCCTGCAACTTGTCATTTAAGCTGGACACAGTTGGCCAACAGGTGCTTGGCTAAATTGTGCACTCCCATCATGCCTCACCTTCTATGGAAAAGCATTTTGGGCTGCCATAGAGAAAGCCCGTAGAGTATTGCTGTTCTCCTTATTGGAAGAGCCTGGCAGAAGGTGGGAAGGGGGTATAGAGGGGTAGGGCATGTTATCTCTGAGCTTGTCACAACAGAAAGTTCTAAGCGAAGCCATCCCTTAGGGCGGCAGCTCTGAAACTGTCTGGTCTCAAGACCCCTTTATACTCTTAAAAATTATTTAAGGACAGATTCTTCCTCCCTCCCGAAGAGTTTTTGTTTATGTGGCCTATATCTATCCATATTTACTATATTGGAAATTAAAAAATCTTAGTGTTATGGTGAAAAGTTTTGACCTTGTAGACTCCCTGAAAGACTCTTAGGGACCCCCAGGGGCTCTGGGACCACACTTTGTGAACCACTATCTTAAGGTTATAATTATATATGGTTTTATATATATAATATAAAGTTATATGTTATATATTATATAGCACATAATCCATCCGTCTATTCACTCATCCATCCATCCATCCATCCATCCATCCATCCATCCATCCATCCATCCTTTACCAAGTACCAACAGACTAAGAATTAGGGTTAGAGTCAGAATATTGGAAGCATTGTGCTAGGCACTAGGGAAGAGACAAAGACAAACAAGGTCTCTGTGCTGCCCTCATGGAGCTTACAGTCTAACAGAAGGGTTCAGCTTTATGCATGCCCAGACATGAAGCTATCTAACAAGTACCGGAATTATGTAACAAGTGGTTATGATGGAAAGCTGGGTAGGTACAAAGTACTCTGCTCAAGGTGAGGGGAAACTTTGTGGTCAGAGTCTGACTGGAGCTGTACCTTGAAGGATGGGGCGGGTTTCTAAAGAGAGGGATGGGAAAAAGGAGGAAGAGGAGGTCATTTAAAACATAAGGAATAGCTTGGGCAAAGGATGAGAAATGAAGTTGGGATTGACCAAGGTGTGCAAGGGAGGAGTAGCAAGAAGGAGGATCTTATGAGATCATATGGAGGGGTGCCATGTTTTGTGGTGGGGGGAAAGAGGCCTTGAATGCCAGCTTGAGGAGTTTTGCATTGTGGGTGCTAGGAAGGAAGTCTCTGAAAAGCTTTCTTTGGGTCTAAGGGAATCACCCCTCCCCCCGTGTTGGGGGCATGAGGGGGAGGGGCTGGTTTAGAACTCTTAGCTTGCAGATTCTACGGTTGTCGCCTTGCCTCTACTTCTTGGCAGCTTTAACAAGTCACTTGGGCCTCTGTTGTAGTCCAAAGCTGAACAGTTTAATTAATAAAAGCAGGGAATAGCAAAGACGTTCAACAGCAGCAACACAGCCCCTAGTGTAGGTTCACGCTAGCCACAGCCACCTGGGCTCCTCCCAACTTCCCCCAGGACAGATGGCTGTGAGTCCAGCCCGTCCCTACCCAACCATGCAGCTGCTGCCCGAAGGGCAGTGGGGAGTGCTGGGCTAGTAACCCGCCCTCTCCGCAGGGACTTTACTTAGGGCAGGGAGTTTGCCTCCCCAAGGAAGTGGAATCTGCTCTGGATGTTTCTCAACTGAAATCCAGGGTGGCTTCCGACTTGCTGAGATCTTGGACTATGGTTGAGGTATCGGATGATATGGAGGCCCAGCATTCTTAAGTCTGCCGTTGGCTGGGATGTGGGGCTCCGTCACTGACATCACATGACGTCACATGACATCACACTGTTCCAGGGTTTGAGAGGAATGGGAGATGGCAGAGCCCCAGCCCCCCCAACTCCCGGCAGCATATGGGCATGGTCTATGTTGGGCCTCTCACTCCAGTGGCCTTTAGCCTTTCTCTGCTTTTTTGCCCTTCCCTCCAGGTTCCCTCTCGAAAGTCCATCTGCTACGACGTGGTCACCCATCTCGTGATTACGTGTCCTGGGTGCCACGCATCTCAGGAAAAAAAGAGCACCTGAAATTTTCCACTACATCAGCTCGCTGGCCAGGTATGGAGACATCCCTTCTCCTTCTGAGTGCCCAAGGAAGGGAAGAGTCTTAAGGTGGGAAAGCCCGGGGCTAAGCTCAGCCCGACTCTGCCTGCTTCTTGGTGAGCCTTCTGTATGGCTCTCTTCGATTCCCCCTTGTGTTCCCCACAATGACTGCTGGGAACGTTCTCTGCCCTCCTCAGCTGCTTAACCCTTCTCTGAAACATCACCCATTCTCTCTTACTTTCCTCCCCAAGTCTCAGAGAAAGAGGTGTCGTGGAACATCGAACTGAGGTCAATTCAGTGCCCGGCCAACTCCAGAAATGGGAGGTGGAGGCAGAGGCGGAGGAGGCCTAATTCTGCCTCTAACTCCATCTCCAGGATGTTCCGAAGCGGGCCTCCCACCTCTTGGTATTCAGCGAGGCAGATGCTAGCAGACCTGAGCAATGTTGACTTTTGCTTCCCTGTATTCCTTTGGTCACATGGGAGTTGGGGGTGGGGCAGTTATTGGGAAGTGACAGGAACGTAAAAAAATCAATAAAACGTTTCTTTAAAAAGGAAAGAGGTGTCCTTACCTCCCCTCTGCCAAATCCCACCCCTTGACCTATGCCTAGTCTCTGGTCCTTGGTCCTAATCTCTGGCACCTCCTTCAGAACCTTACTCCCTCAGGGGCTCCCTTCCACACCTGTAGTCCACTACCTCTCCGCTCAAAGGACAACATGGTTTCTTAACTTCCTCCAGCAACATCTGGTAGTTCAGGAGAGGAGCAGAGAAGGCAGATTATGTGTGTGGGGGAGGGTTGATGTAGGGCTGAGGAACAGCAGGGTTTGAGTAATAGAACGATAAGGGGGCAAAGGATTCCAGGATGGGAGGCAGTGTCTTGTTTAACTGGTTGCCTGGAGGCTCCTAACTATTGAATGGGGAGGAAAGGGAGGTCAGAATTGGGGTGACTGAGTGGGAGAATAGGAAGGAATGGGAGAACCGGAGGTTGAGGTGAAGACAGAGCAGATTCAGGAGAGATCTGAGGTAGTGACAGGACATTCTAAGAAGGGGGAATTGCAGATTTCAAGATTTCGGAGGTGGAACAATTCAGAGGCTTGAGGAAGGCCTAAGAAGAGGAAAGCCGCCTTTGACAGAGGAAAGATGGAGGAGGATAAACTGGGAGGCCTGGGTGTTTGAAGGGTCATAAAGAATGAGGGTAGACGTGGGGTGGTGGAGGGGAAGACTGTGAGGCAGATACCGAACTAGTTAGAGAAAGGAGAGGGGGTGACCTGGCGGCTGGCAGATGATGCCGACAAGCATCTGATCAGACTAATACAAACAGATGGGGTGAACTTCAGAAGAGGGGAGTCTGCCAAGTGGTGATGGCAGTGAGGAGCAAGGAAGATGCTGCCCTCCTCTCCTGGCCCGAAGGGTCAGCAGCCGCGGCTGCTAAAGAGGGTAATAAGCGATGTGGGACCTTCTGGCCAAAGCCAGATTTCCCTGAACAGCAGGAGGTCGAGGCAGTGTCAGAGGAAGGGGCCTCCAACAACGAGGAGCCTCCTACAGCACAGCAGAGTGGCAAGTTGCAAGATAATCAGTCAATAAACACTTACAAAGTGCTTCAGGCCCTGTGCTAAACTCTGGAGGCCCCTTCCTCTGGAAGAGGTGAGGAGGAAGGGCATTCCAGACACGGGGGAGAGCTAGTACAAAGGCCTGAAGTCAGGAGATGGAGTGTAGTGTGTGAGGAATAGCAAGTAGGCCAGTGTGGCTGGATTGTAGACTGCACGGGAGGGGAGTAAAGTATGAAGAGACTGGGAAAGTGGGGAGGGGTCAAAATCATCAACATTTTAAAATTTATATTAACATTTTTATATTAAAGTTCTAACAAAAACTATGAGGAAAAGATAGAAAAATAAATTCCATACAAGATAACTACAAAATGCATAACATGTCTGTGAGTTTACATATCATACAGGACTTATATAAATGTAGTTAAAAAACGGTCTTTACAGAAATGAAAGAAGTCCTAAATAATTGGAGAGACATCCATTGTTCATGGCTAGGCTGTGCCATTACCAAAAAACAATGAAACTACCTAAATTAATCTAGAGATTTAGTACTATGCTAAACCAACCACCACGGTTTTACTTCATAGGACTAGACAGAATAAAAACAAAATTCATGTGAAGGAGCAAAAGGCCAAGAATTTCAAGAAACAGAATACCTTTAAAAAATGGAATGGTGGGGGCCTAGCATTACCAGCTCTCACAGTAAAACTGTTTGGTACTGCAGTTTAAAAATAGAAGACGAGATCAGGAGAAAAAAAAAAAAACGAAAAAAGCCAGACTAGAAGAAGAGCTAATGGACATGCCAGCCCAGGGTTCAAGAAACCCCAGAACACAAACTATGGAGGGGGAGACTTCTTATTCACAAGGGCAAACTGGAAAGAAATGGGAGGGAAAGCTGGTTTAGCCCAACAGCTTACAACCAGGGATGGGGAACCTGAGGCCCCGAGGTCACATGTGGCCTTCTAGGTCCTCAAGTTCGGCCCTCTGACTGAACCCAAACTACAGCAAGTTCCAATTTCTAGACCTAAGGGTGTGGGTTCAGCATCTGTCCATTCTTGCTTGCGTCTCATCTGAGATTCATATTCAGTTTGCTGCTCTGTGCTTTGACAGGCTTTTCTTCAGTTGTACTGCCTTCCTATCTGTTGAAGTATGTGCCTGCCTGCACCTCCATTTTAAGAATGAATGATTAAGATGCATTTGCTGTAAAGATCGGTGAGGCAGGCTCTTCCAAGCCATTTGTGACTCACTCTGAACCTCATGGTGCCGATATATACAGTCGGTCTATTTCTGCCCTCTCTGGAAATCCTGCCCGATCAGTTTGCTTCAGGGAAAGTTGCCTTCTCTTTGAGCAGGCAGTTCTTGCGTCGATCTTGAGCTTCCAGAGCTTCAAGCTAAGCCTGGCTGCGGGCCTCCTTAAGTGGCTCTTTATCTGCTTGAGGCATAATGGCCTTATGACTGCTTCTCCAAAGCCTGGTATTCAAAGTGACTGCCCCTTCTCTCCATTTGTCAGATCTTTGGTGATGGAGAGCTGTAGGAATTTGGGCTACCCTCTCAATGGGGTCCACCAAAGCTCCTGAAACTGCCTCTGAGATCAGGAGTATTGGGAATGATACCCACAGTCCTTTGCCAGGCCTTCCAGGACTGCCTTGTGCTAATACCCTTCACCCACACTGGACTCTTTGCTATCCCCCTCACATTTCCTGGAGTTTGCTACCACTATGCTTTAGCTGCTGTTGATCTGACCCTGCCCTGCCCAAACTGAGGACCCAGTTCACTGCTTTCTGTATTCTCAAAGCTGGAAGCAGTGTCTTCACTGAAGGAAAGAGTACTTTCTACTCTTTTCCATTCTATTTGAATTCTACTTATCTGCATAATTCCTTACTTTTCTTGAGACTACGAACTCCTGGCTGGCAGACACCATGTCTTCTGAGAATTCTTCTGTGTGTCCCAAAGCCTGTGACAGTGCCTTGTCTATAGCAGCCACTGAGGAAACTGGTTGAACTTTAAAAAACCCACCCAGAGTGAAGTGGGGGTTCCAGAGGTCACAGTCAAAGGGGGAGCACAGGGGAGGATAGGGACCGGGAAGGGGCCGAGATGACTCCAAGAGAAGTAGGGGGGAAAGGTTTTGTTTGTTTTGGTTTTTGGTTTGGTTTTTTTTTGTTTTTTGTTTTTTTTTTTTTGGTCCAGGCCAGGGTTTCTTTACCTGGGATCCAGGAACTTTACAAAATGTGGATAACTTTTTTTTTTTAGTAGAATCAGTTTTCTTTGTAATCCTATGCTTTTTATTTGATGCATTTAAAAAACTTCTTGGGGGAGGGGAGGGGGTCCTAGGCTTCCTCAGACTACCAAAGGATTCTATGACAACAAAAAGGGAAAGAAATCCTGGGCTGGATGACATGGGTTCCGGGGTCCAATGGGAATGCTGCCATGGTACGCCATTAATGCTGCTGTCTCTCTCAGGTGTATCCCCTTCAACCGCTTGGAGCAAGGGATGGAGAGGCTTAGGATAGTCTCTTCAGGGGCCGTCGTGAAGAGGAGGCCCCTGCCAATGGCACCTTTCAGGTAAGTTCAGTGTCCTCAGCTGCCTGAGGTGGGGGCCGCTGGGCGCTCCCCGTCTCTGTCAGATAGAGCTGCCTCAGGTGGAAGAAGGAGGCGGTGAGAGGGCTGTTGGTACTAGCTCTGGCAAGGGTCCACCTTCTAGGGTCTGCTTGGCTTCGTTCTAGAGACTGGCTTTAGACAAGTCGGCTTCTCAGCTGAAGAGGCAGCTAGGTGGTGCTGGGATGGATAGGGTGCTGGCCTGGCATCGGGAAGACCCGAATTCAAATCCAGCCTCCGGGTGGCCTTGGGCAAGTCATTTGATTGTTGTTTGCCTCAGTTTCTTCATATGTAAGATGGGGCTTGTAAAAGCACCTGCCTCCTAGAGTTATTGTGAGGATCAAATGAGGTGAGCTTTGGGAAATGCTATATAAATGTGAGCTATTATTATGGGCTGCTATAAGGCAACAAGGTTTTGTTCAGCCCCAGCAACTTACAAAGGGCATCTGAGGCTCCAAGGGGTTGTGGTCCATAGGAGTGAAGGAAGGACCAAGATCAAGAAAAAACGCTGGGAGTATTAAGGTCAATGTGTCAGTCAGTCCCTGCCCTCAAGGAGCTCCCAGTCTAATGGGGAGACAGCACGCAAACCGCCATGGACAGACAAGTTATGGAGAGACAGGAGAGGTTGGAGAGCGACTCCGGAGGGAAGGCAGCAGTGACAAGGAGGATTGATTTCGAAAGGCTTCTTGCACAGAGTGACATTTTAACAGAGACCTGTAGGAAGCCATGAGGCAGAGATGAAGAGGGGTAGCATCTCAGGCGTGGCGGGCACGTGGAGCGTTAGACCTGAGCCTGGGAAGATTCCTTTGGCGGCTGAGTGAGGTTGGTACCACCTGCCCCTCCTCCCCCCAGCAGCTATTTCCGTAGCCCCGTGTGAATGATGAGGACCTAAGCTAGATGGGGGCATTGTCAGGGGAGAGGAGGGGGTGCATTGGAGATGTTACAAAGGTCCACTCAACAGGTCTTGATCATAGATTGGATGTGGAGGGTGAGACAGAGTGAAGGGTCAAGGATGAAATGGAAATCGGGAGCCTCAGGGCCTGAGAGCGCAGTGGGATCCTCGGCAGTTATAGACAAGTTAGGAAGAGGGGAGGGCTTTAACAGTGAGCGGCAGGATGATGAGTTCAGTTCGGGCACGGTGAGTTTCCGAGGTCTAACATCCCTTTTTGAGATGTCTAACAGGCAGCTGGAGGTTAGCAGAGATGAGCATATTTGAGAGTCATCTTCATACAGATGATGGTTGAATTCATGGGAGCTGAGATCACCAAGCAAAGTAGTGTAGAGGGAGAAGAGAAGAGGAGCCAGGACAGAGCGCCGAGGGACACACACCTCCAGTTACAGGGTGTGACCCAGAGGAGGATCGAGCAAAGCAGACAGAGAAGGAGCGGTCAAAGAGGGAGGAGGGGAGCCAAGAGACACAGGGGTGACCTGGAAACCTAGAGAGAAGAGAGGACCAAGGGGGAGGGAGTGAACCACAGTGTCAAAGCCTGTAGAGAGGGGGGAGGTCAGGAAGACTGAGGACTGAGAAAAGGCAACGAAGAGGTCATCAAGAGCAGTTTCAGTGGAACGCTGAGGGGGAAGCCAGATCATGAAAGGAGGCGGGGAGGGCAGGCGGCCTTTCCCAGGAGTTTGGCTACAAAGGGCAGAGGAGGGATCGTTACCAGGGATGGAAGGACCAAGTGAGGGGGTTTTGAAGATGGGGGAGCCATGGGCATATTTGTAGATAGGACACAGACAGGAGCCAGGGAATGATTGAAGATGAATGAGAGATGGGGATGACAGAGGGGCACCCTGCTGGAGGAGATGGGAAGGAATGGGGTTACTTGTGCAGGTAGAGGGTAAATAGGGCCACTGTGTTTTATGAGCCATGGTCAAGGCCAAGATAGCGGCACAAAGCCGCTCAGAACCCAGAGGTGGTTTGGGGGAGGCTGTGACCTACCCCAGAAATGAAAAGCCCTTATCCTGGCATTCAAGGCCCTCCACAATTTGGTACCGTCCTAATTTTCCAGCCTTATCTCACCTTGCTGGCCTCCATCTGTGCTACTCTGCAGGCAGATTGTCTGATTTGCTAGGCTCCATCCACGTCCAACATTGTCCTGGCTCCTGGTCTCTGCTCTTGTTGGCTTCTGCCTCTGCATTTTGAAATCCTACCCATCCTTTAAGACCTAGCTCAAATGTCATCTCCTTTAGGAAGCATTCCCTAACACCCCAAGCAGCAACCAGCCAGCTCCTCCCTGACCTCATATATCACTTGCTCTGCAGCTGTCTTATGCAGTCATAATGTATTAGCTTACAATAGAGTTATTTGTGTATATATTCTATCCCTCCTGGAGACTGTGAATTCCAGGAGTGCAGACGCCCTGTCTTGTTGAAGGGCTTCTGTCATGCTCTGCTTATACTAAATGTATTCTGAAGCAGATGATGGGAGACTTGGAAGTGACTTCAGACACCTTCTGGTCTAAGCCTGTGTCTAACAACGATGCCCTCGACATTCCCAAAAGACCTTTGGTGAGATTTAGCTCACTACCTCTTCTTTCTTGTTGCGTTGTCATCAGGGCCAAGCAGAACAAGCCCAATCCCTTAATAACAGTCCAGTCCTTCAGATACTTAAAGGCAGCTCTCTGGCCCAGCCCCTTTAGCCTTCTCTGCTCCAAGAGACCGTGTATGCAGTTTGTCAATGTCCTTGCTGACGTGGCATCCCGAACAGAATACAGATGGGATCAATTCAGAGCTCCTGGAGTGGGGTGGTGTGGAGTGGGCCTACTATGCGTCAGACCCATGTTAAGTGCTGAAAAGAAAGGCAGAAGGCGGTCCCTGCTTCCAGTCTAATGGGAGAGACAACAGACGAACAAATAAGTACAAATCAGCCCTAGACAGGCTAAATTGGCAATATTCAACAGAGAAGAGGCCCTGGAATGGAGAGGGGTTGGGGAAGGCTTCCTAGAAAGTGGGATTTGAGTTGGGACTTAAAGGAAGCCAAGGAGGTCAGTGGTAGGAGTGGGGAGTGTATTCTAGGCCTGGGGGACAGCTAGAGAAAATGCCCAGAGCCAGAGCCACAGGGCCTTGTTTGTGGAACAGCCAGGAGGCCTGGTCAGTAGATGGAAGAGGAATGCCTCCGGGAATGAGGTGTCAGAAGACTGGAAAAGGAGGAAGGGACTGAGTTATGAAGGGCTCTGAATGCCAAACAGAGCATTTTCTATTTGCTCGTGGAGGCTGTAGAGAGCCACTGGAGTTTGTGGGGGGCGGGGTGAGATGCATGATCAGACCTGCACTTTCAGAAGATCCCTTTCATAGCTTAATGAAAGCTAGACTGCAGTTGAGATTTGAGGCGGGCAGACCCACCAGCAGCTACAGCCGTACTCCAGGAGTGAGGTGTCAATGCAGAGAAAGGGGCATATTTGAGAGATGTGGCAAAGGTGCAGTCAGCCTTGGATGTGGGGGGGGTGCTTGATTGTGAGGAGCTGGAGTGACCCTGAGGTGGGGAGCCCCCCCCCCCCCCCCCAAGCATGTTCCTGGCTTCTTGAGTTTTCTGTCACTCCCAGGAAGCCATGGCAAGTATTGCTTCTGGTTCTGTCTGCTCTGACTGGCTTCTTCCAGTAGAGGCTCCCCGTGCAGCTCTCTCTATACTGGCCCACCCAAGGCCAAAAACCCCCCTCTACTGAAACAAACCTTGTTCTGTCATTGGGAGTCTTGGCCACCAAGGGAAAAAAGCCTCAAGGCCTCTCTTTGTCTGTGGGGGTGTCGAAGCTCTCCTGAGCCTCAGAGCGGACACTTCCTGTTACTGAGGCCATTTCTTTTCACCATGGTTCCTTTTAGCCTTGCCAGGGACCAGGCTCTCTATTGTTTTCTAGAATTTGGAGTCTCCTCACCACACACTCTCTATCTGTAACCCGTGACCAGAAACACCGACATGGGGTGAGGGGCCATAGCCTCGTTCATCCAAGGAACGCTCTTCCCTTCTTTGAGAGCCAACCAAGCCGCCTTCCTTCCCCACCCCCAGTTGTTCTAAACTGAGCTCTCAAAGGTATTTGGGTGGGGGATTGGGATCCCCCAAGACTATCATCTATATACAGCAGTTTCCAGCACTTCTCGATACTCTCCCAAGTGTTTCAGTGGGAGAAGAGGAAGAGTGATCCCCACATGTACCTAAGCTTAATTTCTCTAACATAATAATACAACATCAAATCATTAGAAAGGCTGTCCTTTGTCAGCCCCCAGGGTCCCAGGATCATTCTGGCTCTGATTGGGAAGCAAGGGCTATGTTGGGCAAGGTCATGCTTACCCTCCCTAATGTCACCTCACAGCTAATAAAAGCTAGTATTTATATAGCTAAGATTTGCAAAGCACTTCACATGTGTTAACTCATTTGATCCTCATGACAACCTTGTGAAGTAGCTGCTATTATTAGCCCTGTTTTACAGTTGGGGAAACTGAGGCAAACAGTTATGTGACTTGTCCAGGGTTACCGAGCTGGTAAGTGTCTAGGGCTGAATTCAAATCCAGACCTTCCTGACTTCAAGTCCTGCACTCTAGCTAGCCACCGTCCCACCCATCAGCCTCATAGATCAGACTTCTCCAGTCGTGGTAGAGTGGAAATAGCACCAGGTCTACAGTCAAAAAGGTCTTGGTTTGAATTCTGGCTCTGCTGGTTATTAGTTGTGTTACCTTAGACAAGTCACTTCATTACTCTGGTCCTCAGTTTCTTCATGTCTAAAATGAGGAAGTGGGACTTGGGGCTCTTTAAGATCCCCCCTAAAGCCTTAGGTCCTTTGGGGCTCTGGGAAAGCTCCTTAATCATGAATTTATCTAAGTCTTCATGGGATCTATTTGTATTTCTGTCTTGTTCTGCCTCTTGGGATAATGAGTTCAATGACTTTTATTGATCTCAGATGTACTAAAATAAGGCTCTTTCTAGTTTCAGGGGCCTCCTAACTCTGGCATTCTGGGATTTAGTAAACTAGTCCTTGGCCCATGCCTCCCCATTCCCCATGCCTTCAGTTTACAGATTCAATCCCTTCATCTCTCACTCAGCCTTTACTTTTCCAGAATGAGAGAGCAGGAGAGAGTTAGAGAGAGGAGGAGGGAGCAGAGTGAGAGATATGGGAAGGAGGAGGGCTAGTCAGGGGAGGAGGGAGCAGAATGAGAGAGGGAAAAGGGGAGAGCTAGAGGGGGAGAAGGGAGCACAATTGAGGGGGAAGGGGGAGGGCTAGAGAGGAGCAGAGAGAGTGAGGGAAAAGGGGAAAGCTGGAGGGGGAGGAGGGAGCAGAGTGAGAGAGAGGG